AAATTCTCTTTAAACTTAATTATGACAAAAGTAAATCAAAATAGTAAATATATAAAGCCATCCCTGTCACCTAACTGTTTTAATATATTTTTTACTAATATTCAAGGTCTGAGAAGCAACCATCCATTAATTGAATATTATCTTTTGCAAAGTTCACCAGACTAGCTTGCTCTTAGTGAGACTAATTTAGATTCTGCTATTTCTTCTTCTGATCTCAATGTTGATAGGTACTATCCTTTGATTCGCAAAGACTGCAATAGTCACATGCATAGCTTAGGGGTATATATACGCATCAATTCACCCATTTCTCATGAAGTCAGATTCGAATCCTTTGACCATTCCTTTGATCTCAATAAATTCAATGCCATTCAATGATCTCTTTAAATCTCACCCAATCATTGCACTACTTACTCTACCCTAAAGCTGATTGGGACTCTTTTTGTAATTTTCTTTATGACGGTCCTTGGGCTGATGTCTTTTCCCTCTCAGCTGAAAAATGTGCCTTCTTGTAACCTCCTGGATTCAGGCAGGAATGGATGGTTTTATTCCTTCTTGTTAGTTCCAAGTCAAGGCTCATTCTACTCCATGGTTTTCACCCTTTTGTGCAGCTGCTATATCTGATTGTAATCATTTTTCATCTTTTTCAAAAGAACAATTTTTCCATCTTTTTCAAAAGAACAACTCTCTTGAGAATAAACTGCTATTTATTATTGCAAGAAGTTGATGTAAAAAGGTGCTGTCAGATGAAAAGCTCCATTATTCTAAGTTCACTAAATCTTGTATCTTATCTCGGAAGTTAGGCTCTAGAGACTTTTTGAAAATCTTCAACCTTGTTAACAAAGGAAGATCTAACATTCCATCTCTCATTCATGGAACTGATCTTATTACCTCTCCCAAGGATAAGGCTGATCTATTTGCAAAGAACTTCTCTTCTAATTTGACTCTTGAATTTTATGGCCATTCTCTTCCTTCTATTCCAATTAAACAGATTAACCAATTCTTAGACATTCAAATCACTCCAGCTTCTGTTGCTAAAGTCATATTAAACTCTTCTGCGGCATGTGGTCCAGACAATTCCAGTCTTACAAAATTATTCTCTAGAACTTTCTTTAATTTTTCTTTAAACTATATAATAAGTACTTGACTGAGTCTTGTTTTTCTGTCTGCTGGAAAATGACAGGCTTTCAATGATCTTCTAATGATGCTCTTTCTTCTAAATAAGATCCAAAAGTGCAATGTGAATGTAGTTGGACCCGGTCTATCTGCTAAGCTTGAGCCTCTTAACCATCTTTTCTCTTTTCTACAAATACTATAATTGCTGCTGCTCAAAGGATCTTTTATCTCTAGTTCAATCAATTAAAACCCATTCTCCCTTGACTTATCAATCATCAAAGTCTCATTCTTATACTGTATCTGTCCCTGCATGCTTTATTTGTCTATCTTTTTTCCCCACACTATTAAAAAAAAAAAGAGTTTATGGAGAAGACCAGCATGCCACACATTTTTTAAAACCTTTAACATATCAAGAGCAATAGCCGTTGCTTCACGGCTACACAATTCTTACATAGTGCAAAATAGAACCTATTTGCTATAGCTAAATCAGAAATAAAACACAAAATCTGTATTTTGATTGTCTGTAAGTTGATAGACAGTGAGTTGTTAGACAGTGAGTTGAACCATTAGGAAAAAAATCAAAAATCCCTAACTGCCTTAACAAGTACTACTTGTCTTGAGACTTGAACCACAAAAAGCCACAATCATGGCTCCAGTTAAGCCAAGTGATTTGGGTTGTCTAAAAATGAGTCACAAAATTAACTATTTGAATTGAAAATCAAAAAGGAAAAAAAGAACCAGCAAGGTCTTTATTACTAGAGGCAATCTGTTTAGTGTGGTGATCATTAAATTCACCAATAACAGCAATATTGGCTGAGGGATAAAAGAAAAGGCTTGTTAAATTTTTAGTCAAAGATTAAATATATATATATATATATATATATATATATATATATATATATATATATATATATATATATATATATATATATATATATATATATATATATATATATATATATATATATATATATATATATATATATATATATATATATATATATAATATATATATATATATATGTATATATATATATATATATATATATATATATATATATATATATATATATATATATATATATATATATATATATATATATTTACTAAATTTGATATTTTAATTTATTTATTTACATATTAAATTGTTAAAGTTATGTATTATGAAATTTTTTTTTTGATATTTCAAATTAATTTTTAGAGTTAAAAACAAAGGATGATGTAAAAGAAAATATGGCTATGAAATGGCAAAATGGAGTTATTTCAAATTTTGACTATCTAATCTATTTAAATAGGTTAATTTTTTTTCAAGTTTCCACATTTTTTTTTACTTTAATAATAATAATAATAATAATAATAATAATAATAATAATAATAATAATAATAATAATAATATCATGATAATAACAAAAACAATAATGATAATAATAATAATTATTATTATTGTTATATCTATATAATAATGCTGAACTTAATAGTAGCAGTGTTCACTTCTGAGTTTTGACAGTTTTTCAAAGTTTCACAACTTTTTTGTTTTGAAATTTAAAATTGTTAGGATGTCAATACAGAGGACAGCACATTAAACCACTAAGCTTCTGAAAATATGTTTAACAGAAAAAATGAATTAAATTTTTATACCAATTGTAATGATTTTTAAGTGGATACTCTCTAATAATAAGTGCAACTATATTGCATAGCAACATTGCACAGAAACTTTAAAAAAAAATATTTGAAAACCATAATAGTTTATCAAAAAACTCCAAAAATAAAATTCAAGTTTAAAATTTTAAATCAAGTGCAATTGAATAGAATATTTTTATTAATAAAGATGTAAAATGTAAAAAATCTAAAAGTATTTAAGTATTTACATAATTAGTTAATACGTTTAGTAATTACATAATTTTTACTATCTTAAGTATTTACATAATCAGTTAGGTAATGCTGCTAAAGAAAGACAAGCAAATAGCAAGGCAAAGGCAGCAAAGAGTAAAAAAAAAGTACAGAGAAAAAAGTGTGCAAAATAGTTTTTTTTGGTCCGAAAGCAATATGTAAATGAATTATTTTTCTGTTTACTTAAAAATATTGAAGTTAAAATCAAGTAAAGAAATAGAAATTGATAAAAGTATTGAAATATAGAGGTCTAGAAACAAAGAAACAGAGATTGATAGAAGTATTGATATATAGAGGTCTAGATGCAAAGAAATAGAGATGGATAGAAGTATTGAAATATAGAGGTTTAGAAGTATAGAAATAAAAGTAAATAATAGTAAGTCAAGAAATGAGAGGTCAAAGTCAAGAGGTTGAGGTAGAGAAATAAGTATAGAGGTTTAATGAAATAACATAATTATTATTGAAATAGAGTGTTGAATAAACTTACCAAGACCCGTGTTTTATGAATTTTACAGGCAGTTTTTTGTTAATATTGTTATTACTATTTTTATTATTATTGTTATTATTATTATTATTATAATAATAGTTTGAAAATTCATATTCATTTTACATAGTACAAGTACATAGAGTGTTTAGGCCTTGCATTTTCAAGATAAATAGAACCACGGAGATAGTATGATATCTGATATTATCTTTGCCAGTTTATATATATATATATATATATATATATATATATATATATATATATATATATATATATATATATATATATATATATATATATATATATATATATATATATATATATATATATATATATATATATAATTGATCTGTCCCTATTCTTGAAACATTCTATTGGTTCTCACAAGTCACAAGTTAAATTTTTTCAAAATTGAATGATATTAAGGAGGGCCACCTTAAGTCTGAAACTTGCAACGAGATCCTAAACAGAAAAAAAAATCTCAAAAGAAGCAAAATTTGATAAAAATAATAAAAATTTTAACTTTTATTGCATAAAAATTATTATTTTTTATCAAAAAATAAAAAAACAACATTTTTTCATGGTTTTTGTCAAAATTTTTTTTCAAGGTATTTTCAAACAAAAATGATAATTATTTTTGAGAAAAATTATAAATTGAGGATCTTTTTTTATTTCAGCAAATATTGTTTATTTTGCGGGCAAATACCTATATTCGGCAATTTTTTTGCTGTTTCTCTGGGATGTGGGGGGGGGGGTACCGCCACCTAAAGTTTTTTCTTAGAATAGCTACTGATATATATATATATATATATATATATATATATATATATATATATATATATATATATATATATATATATATATATATATATATATATATATATATGTATATATATATATATGTATATATATATATATATATATATATATATATATATATGTATATATATATATATATATATATATATATATATATATATATATATATATATATATATATATATATATATATATATATATATATATATATATATATATATATATATATATATATATATATATATATATATATATATATATGTACATAAAATATTATAAAATAGTTATCAGATTATGATTGATAACTTTTATTATGCACAAATAGCATTAAACAAATGGTATTAAAAAGAAAGTTCTTTTCTTATTATTTAGTATTGCTGATAGAAGTTTTAATGATCTTACTCAATATCCTGTATTTCCGTGGATTATAAAAGACTATAAAAGTTCGATTCTTGATCTTCATAATCCAGATACATTTAGAGATCTAACTAAACCTGTTGGTGCACTTGATGAAGCAAGGCTGTCTCAGTTAAAAGTATTTTATGATTTGTGTTGTTAATTTATTTATTTTTTACTTTTTATTCAACCACAAATTGCATTTAATGAAATCATCTTACATTTATTGGAAACAAACTAACTAAATTATATAAAAAATAATTTTTAAGTTTTACATAAACAAAATATGCCAGGAACA